GAGAGATATTTCTTGTCTCTCTCTCCTCTGGTGTCTTCTCTCTCTCTCTCTCTCTCTCTCTCCTCTCTCTCTCTCTGTCTCTTTCTCTCTCTCTCTGTCTCTCTCTCTGGGTCTCTGTCTCTCTTTGTCTCTCTCTCTCTCGTGTCTCTCCTCTGTCTGTCTGGCTCTGGTCTGTGTCTCTCTTCTCTTCTCTCTCTCTCTGTCTCTGTCTCTCTTTGTCTCTGTCTCTCTTTGTCTCTCTCTGTCTGTCTCTTTCTCTCTCTCTCTCTCTCTCGCTGTCAGGTGACGTACTCGGGCGGCAGTAAGTGTTTCAGCTGCACTTCAGCCTCAGAGAGAGACAAGTGGATGGAAAACCTGAGGAGGACGATTCAGCCCAACAAGGTGAGATCAGACAGGGGACGACTCGTGCCTTACCCATGGTGCATTGCAAAGGCAGTTGTTGGTATATTAGTAGAAACTATAATAAATGTAATCACTCTTCACCAGACTCCAGAGACAAAAACACTCATCCAACCTCTCAGATCATCGTAATAACATGTATCAAATAGCATCCATGTAGATTTTAATCCTGTGAAATGGTTTAAATGTTTGTCGCTGTTTCCAGGACAACTGTCGGCGGGCGGAGAACCTGCTGCGACTGTGGATCATCGAAGCCAAAGACCTGCCGCCTAAGAAGAAATATTTCTGCGAGCTGTGTCTGGATGACGTCCTGTACGCCCGGACCACCAGCAAGACTCGCCACGACAGCCTGTTCTGGGGCGAGCACTTCGACTTCTCCGGCCTGCCCGCCATGCACAGCATCACCGTGCACATCTACCGCGACGTGGACCGGAAGAAGAAGAAAGACAAGAACAACTACGTGGGCCTGGTCAACATCCCGGTGTCGGGCGTGACGGGGCGGCAGTTTGTGGAGAAGTGGTACCCGGTCAGCACGCCCACCACCAGCAAGTCCAAGGGAGGGGGGCCGTCGATCCGCATCAAGTCCCGCTTCCAGACCATCTCCATCCTGCCCATGGAGCAGTACAAGGAGTTCGCCGAGTTCGTCACCAACAACTACACCATGCTGTGCTCGGTGCTGGAGCCCGTCATCAGCGTCAAGAACAAGGAGGAGATGGCCTGCGCTCTGGTCCACATCCTGCAGAGCACCGGGAGGGCAAAGGTCAGAGCTCAGCAACCACAGTAACTTGTAATTGGTTAAAGTACCAATGCCATACACACACTGTCATAAACACATCCTTCCTCCTCTTCCTCTTCCCGTTCAGGACTTCCTGACAGACCTGGTGATGTCGGAGGTGGACCGCTGTGCCGACCACGACGTCCTGATCTTCAGGGAGAACACGCTGGCTACCAAAGCCATCGAGGAATATCTGAAACTGGTGGGACAGAAATATCTGCACGACGCCCTCGGTGAGTCTCAGGAAGGAACAGAACAAAGACCCACTCTGGTTCTGGGGCTCATTCTTCACAGCTCCTGTGCTAATAGGAGCGCCAACTACCTGATAGCAGCTAGTACAGTTAGCATATGCAGCAGCGTACTGTACACCGTACATTAACATCCATCCTGTAACTAAAGTTACTTTTGTTCACAAAAAAATCTGGATTTTCAAGTCAAATGTGAGCAGAAACCAAAAGCTTCTTTTATAAGTTATTTCAGATAATTTATCAATAAAGCTCAGCTGTAATTATCTTTACAAAGAAACATTTCAAAATACAGTTTGATCTGTAAATATGTTTAATGTGCAGATTAAAATACGCAAAGTCTTTATGGACTTCTGAATGCTAAAATTAGAGTACATTAGGTCTCATCTTCATCCTCCTCCTCCTCCTCTGAGTGATTGTGCTCAGTTCTCTCGTTCTCAAACATTTCAGAAATAAAAGGACTTGATTGTGACAGAACCAGAACTGTCACAGAACCCCTGAGACCTGCTGTCAGTACAGACCCATAAACACGAGCTTCACGCTATTATTAGCACAAAATAAAGACACAGTTCACAAACACTAATAATTTCCCCTCGTTAATGTATTTATAGCTTCAGGTCTGGAAATAGACTCAAACGTCCTGCCGTGTGTTTGGTAACGTGAATTAAAGGCTTTTATTTTGACAGCGAGCTGTGATTGAATGTATGAGCTCGTTGAAACTTCAGCTGCTCCAGAACAAGTTTCAGTGAGGGTTAACTCAGCGCCAACTTACTGTCCTCTTCCTTCACTCTCCTTTTGTATCAACCCACTGATAATATTACAGCTAATGAAAAACTACTTCTGAATATGTTTCCTGTTATAGTAAGTATAGATATTTATAACTACTATAGTTTCTATTTTAAATCTCTAATCCTCCATTACAGCCAATATTTCTGTTTTTTATTAAAATCAATGTTTGTCAGTTTAACATTGTCTCTCTGTCTGTCCGTCTGTCTATCTGTCCGTCTGTCTGTCTCTATCTATCTGTCTGTCTGTCTCCAGGTGAGTTCATTAAGGCTCTGTACGAGTCGGACGAGAACTGCGAGGTGGATCCCAGTCGATGCTCCGGCAGCGATCTGGCTGAACATCAGAGTAACCTGAAGATGTGCTGCGAGCTCGCTTTCTGCAAGATCATCAACTCCTACTGGTACTGAATAAAATCAGCTGAACACAAACTAAAACCTTTTAACAAGAATGTAAAGATATACCAATTGCCAATCAATGGGATAAAGAATTAATCGGGGCGCTCTTTTCAAACAGCAAAGGGCGCTCTCTATTGAGACTGTCAGTCTCTGTACGGAGGCACTAACAACAGGAAATATACATCGTTATCACTATCACTAACCTTATAAATAAAAAGAGATTCTACAAATTGATAAGGTAAATATTTTGAGTAGTTTATAATAAGTTTAGAATAAAGGAACCTTTGTATCGTTACATCCTGAAAGGTTTTAAATTAAATGTTTGTAAGGGTTTAAATAAATGGATCTGATTCATGTTTTATGTGTTCTCAGAGTTGAATGAAGTATTATTCGGTTCTCACTTTGTTTTAATCATATTTTTTTATTAGTTTGTAAAACACTTCTGTAAAAGCCAGAAACAGAAGGAGGAGAAGCCTGAATCAAAGACAGAAAAGCTTTACTCCAACAGAACGTGCATCGTTCTCTCCTTTCAGACCTACTGAAAGGCTTCAGCAGTCATTAAGTGATTCCTCTACAGCAGCAGAAACCCGATCCTTCCTCCCCGCAGTGCTCACTAACCTCCTTCCTGTCTCCTCAGTGTGTTTCCTCGGGAGCTGAAGGAAGTGTTTGCGTCTTGGAAGCAGCAGTGCGTCGCTCGCGGCCACCAGCAGGACATCAGCAAGCGTCTGATCAGCGCCTCACTCTTCCTGCGCTTCCTGTGCCCCGCTATCATGTCGCCATCGCTCTTTAACCTGATGCAGGAATATCCGGACGACCGGACGTCCCGGACGCTCACGCTCATCGCCAAAGTCATCCAGAACCTCGCCAACTTCACCAAGTGAGTGTCTGCAGGTCCATGCTGTGAAGGTCTGTGGGTCCATCAGGATCCATCATGGTCAACTATAATCCTGTTGCACAACCAGCAGCGGAGGTTTCGTTTCAACGTTAGGGGCACATATTAAATATAAAAACTTCTTGCATTATCTCAGCACCTCCAATGTGTGGTTGTAATGTGTTTATTTATCTGAAGGAAAACACAAAATTCATGGCAACTTTTCTCATTTATTGTCACTGATCCATTGCTGGTTCAGAACAGCCCGATTGCTTCGCCTCCTGAAAATGTGATTTTTCCGGCTTGTTGCAGAGATGTTCAGGACCAAATTTGGAAACAATTTCCAAAATCGCAGAATAAATTACAAAATTAAAAATGTAGGAAAATTGATCAAGGCGCTATTGAGCTTATATGAATACATTAGTTTCTGAGACTTAAGGTTCAAAGGTTACAGGTCAAAACATAAAGTTTGTTGTTAAAGCGCCACGTTCTGGACAGACTGCATCAAATTTGAGACTGCATTTCTTTGGGTCCTCAGCAATACTGTGACTAGAGACTGTTTTATTAAAACAATCGGTGGTTCTCTGATGCTCCCGCTCAGGTTTGTGAAGCTCAGTGTGGCCTCAGGAGGTTCCACAGGGGCCAATTCCTGGACCTATGTGTTTTATTTGTACAGACGTGGTTCCAACGTTATAAAGGAACACAGTTGAGAAACACAAGTGTATCATCAGCATAACGGATGATAAACTCCACTGAGTAACAGAGAAATATCTGACCATGTCTGCAGGTTTGGAAACAAAGAGGAGTACATGGCCTTCATGAACGACTTCCTGGAGCACGAGTGGGCGGGAATGATGCGCTTCCTGTCGGAGATCTCCAACCCAGAGACTCTGTCCAACACGCCGGGCTTCGAGGGCTACATCGACCTCGGCCGCGAGCTGTCCGTCCTGCACGCTCTGCTGTGGGAGGTCGTCTCTCAGCTCGACAAGGTGTGTGTGTGTGTGTTAAACCACCTTTAACTGTCAGCTGAAGAAGAATTTCCTGATATTCACTATAAACTAGTTGAACCAGTTTTTGTCCTCATTCTGATAAATCCTGCAACCAGCGTCTGGAAAAGGTCGGTTGTGATATCAAAATAAAACTGGAGAGCTGTTAGATCTGAAATAACGTTTATATTGATTAGTGTCCCGTTAACTTCCTGTCTGGTTACTGTCGGGATGAAATGTTGAGTGATTGATCAGTGATTGATCAGCGTGATTTGAATCCAGTGTGTGTGTGGTGTGTGTGTGTGTAAAACCTGTGGAATGGAGTAACATCAGGAAGGTCACTTCAGGTCCATTTTAACCCACATTAACGCTGCCCCGTGGGCTTCAACCTCAACCAGCATGGCCTGAACCCCCCATCTCCACCCTCCACCCTCCACCCGGCCTGGTGCTGTGCCCCTCCCACCTGTTCACCTGTTCCGGGGCTCCCGGCTCAGCATGGGCATCTGCCTGTGTTTGAATGTGGTTCTGGTTCGGTAGAAAGCCATGTCATAGTTGATTTTTCCGTTTCCTTAAGTGTCCCCCCCCTCAATGTTATTTTTTCCTCCCTCTCCTTCACCTTCCCTGTCTGGCGACTCTCTCTGTCTGCCATGTCGCTCTCCACCACCACCACACGCATCCTGGGTGCCCTTCCAATCACCACACACACACACAACACCACGGCCGCGCACGTACTGCGCGACCCCAAGGGTGAAAATTCTTCCTGCCAAGGCCACCGTAGGGCGAGCCTGGGCCCGCTGCCCGAGGATTCTGGAGACCTCTCCTCGCTGTCTGGCCGCTCCCCACGCCCCGTCCAGCAGCCACTGGCGGCGGTTTTCCAGGACCACAGCCTCCGCAACAAACCATCCAATGGCAAGCTGGGCCTGGTCGTCCAGGGGTTACAGCCGGGATCTTTGAGGGACCCCGCGACAAGGTAATCAGCTGATCATTCAAAGATCAATACGGTCCGAAATAATTCACATATTTTAATATCATCACCTAATACGACCACGTTAAGGATATGTTAAATGTGATATTTCCTTAAAGGGAAGTTTGGGTGCAGGGCAGCTCTCTTTCTTCTTAGTTGGATTCAAAACTGCTGGATATGGACGTCCATTTTGTTAACGTTTAGTCTCCCACTACAGAAAACACTAAGCTAACTGATAAAGGCTGATCAGGTTTGATTGATTGGCTTTAATATGAGAAGTCCAATTGAAATTAGCTGATCAGGCTTGCATCAGGTTGATTTGTGGCTTTAAATGATGGGAGTATTGATTCCTGATCAGGGATCATTATCAGATAACCCGTACTCCCGGTTTCTAACAGCAGTCCTGGCATCTGTCGAAATGGCGGTTTAACTCCCTGTCCCACTTTCTGCAAAGGCCCGTAGCCGAAGGGTCCGCAGCCATGCCAGTCTCCAGTTCAGCCCGCAGGGTTAGTTTCGAGGTCCAGCGCGCTGGCTGGCACAGGCAAGCACTCACAACCACACCAGCTTCTCCGGACCCGAGGAGCGAGACGGCGGTGGCCTCCCCCAAATGGCCGCAGCATCTCCCTCTGGTGGGAACTGCAAGGAACGCCCAGAGCCTGGCCACCCGGCAGCCGTGGGGACCGCCGGCCGCAACCACGAGGCCGCCCCGCTCAGCAGGGTTGGGGCTCGGCAGCCTCCAATCCGGGAACACACACCCCGCCCTCGCTCCCAACTACCCCCCACTCCAACCCTCTACGCCAGCCGGTGCCACCAGCCCAAAAGCCGCGGCCAGAAGGCCGAAGAGCCGCACCCGCAGGGTGAGGCCGGCCCGGCTGCACCCGTCTGCTCAGCCAGCAAGGCGCAGCCTGCACGTGTCCTTCCAGAACCGTGTAACCAACCTGAGGGTAACCGGCCCACACTGTCGCCACGATCCGCCCCACATTCGCTGGCGGCACGGACTCAGCTCGAGAACCCTTGAAGCACGGAGAAAGCTCGCACACAGCCCACCAGCAACCTCCGACCGACTTCGGCAGCCAGGTGGGGTCAGGTGCGTGGGGCGTCCAACCAGCAAGCCTGGGGACGAGTCGGGCCCAGCAAGGGCCCGGAGCCAGCCAGGCCGAGGAGTGCTCCACGCCGCGCACCGACACGCGCCCGACTCCGCCGGGCCACTGCCTACGGCGGGTCGCCATTTCCCCGTCAGAGCACGACGGCGGGCCACCGCCACCCATCCGTTAAGGATGGAGCAAGCCAGAGCCAGGGGGAGGGGGCGCAGGACGCACGCTTCTTC